ACATCTGTTTTGCTCAACAGCCTACCGTAGCCATCTCTCTGGACAGCTTTGGGCAAAGTAAGCTGTGTGGCAATGAGGGCTGTCCTCAGCATTGGGTAAGTTGTTGAGCTGCTTCTGAAGTCAAGGTTCACCACATGGCTGAGAAATTCCTCCCCCAGCTGTAGCGCACCTCCAGCTTGTCTGCCTTACACAGCTCACAGCAAACCAGCCTTGGTATTAAGTTAATGCAAACCAGTCACTGATGGACTCTGCAAGCTTCACCAAAGGGAACTCCTCACCTCCACCATACTTTGCTACCCATTGAGCAATCATGGGCACATAGTGAGCCCTGAGTGGCATGCAGGCTGCGGTCTGGGCAATGGCAACATCCAAGTCCTTGCTCCTGCTGTACCAGAAAGCCAAGCTCATTGCTTGCTCCATCTCCGTGGGCGTGCTTGCCACCTGTTGAGAAGTGTTCAAGCTGCCTTGCAAGAACCCGGGGAGCCACTCAAGGTGTTCTTCCACTTCTGCGCTGATCACCTTCCATGTCCAGCCTTCCTTGATCAAAGCTTCTAAGACCGGGTCTGCATACTTTGAAAGCAAACTGTCCAAGGTCAGCAGGCCATTGTTCACTCTGGCAAGTTCTTCGTGCTCTGTGCTGCAAGTGCCTGCTGCCACTGTTTTCATAAACATGCCCACATGGGAGCAAGCCACTGTCAAATATCTTTCTGTGGAGAGCACTGGGGCAATTTTGTTCTCTGACGCGCTTACCAGCTCCAGGTTTGCCTGCAGTTGCGTCTGCTTCTGGCCTGGCTCCTTTGCCATTTCAAAAGCCAAGGAGTCACTCAGCTTGTCCACCAAGCACCCCATGGTCAAAACCATGGCTCCTTTGGCATGCATGTCAAAGCTGTTGAGCATGGCCCCAGATCGGTTGCTGGGATGCACCAGCAACTGCACAGGCTTCACCTTCTGCTCCCACAGCAAGCCTGCAGCTTGCAGCTTGCTCAAAATGACCTGACACTTTCTGTTGATCTGAAGCCCTTCATCACATTTCACTGCTATAATCTCTGCTTTCAAAGCATCATCCATGGCATGGGGCTGCAGCACTAGCAGCTTGGTGACGGCTTGTAATGTCATGCTTCGCTTGCTGGTCATGAAACTCTGCATGTTCCTTGTGCTGCGCATGTGCTGGGCAGGTGCTTCTTGCTGCTCCTCTATAGTTGCACAACTCCATGAAGCACTGAAAGCATGCATGCAACACAAGCCTGCGCAGGCTGAAAGCCGCAGCAGCTCATGGCTTCTAGACAAGAAGGCTGAGCCTGTGAAGGCTGAAAAGAAACATCAGAAGCCCAAGGGGCTGATAATGGTGCCACACGCAAGGAGCATTGCAGCATGGCAATTCCAAAATACAAGCTCAGCGATGCCCTGTTAACTGCGAGCCTGTGCAGGCTGATAACAAAACCATAGCCCAATGGGCTTACTATCAAACAAAATGAGGCAGCAAACTGCCAAAGCTGCATGCCTCAAAGAGGTGCGCAAATCATATGCTAAAGGAATCCCAGACCGGTACAAACAACATTTGAGATTGCTTTGGCCCTTTGCGGCACTATTGAAGGCAAGAACAAATCATACCTTACTATTACCTTACTAGCCCATTAAGAAGTGTGCTAAGCAAAAGTCAAAAGTTAGCTAATCCTGTAGCTAACTACTTATAAACTAGCTACTTTAACTAGTACACTTACACATGTTAGCTATTTTTTATGTAAGAGCATTAACTCAATCAGCACTTTACGCTGTTTATAAGCACTTACAACTTGTTACTAAGGCTTTACTTGACTTTTACAAAATATTTAGCAGAGGCAGTAACCATGGCAAGTCACTATTAAGCACACAGCCGATCCAAGGACCTACCCCGCCTTGAAACGCCGCGCTGTTGCCGTGCTCCGTGTGCGCCTGTCGTTTGAGGTTGTCTCCGCGCGTTGGAGCGCGAGTGCCAAGCCTCCCGGTTACGGAGCTTGCGCGGCTTTCGCCACTGCGCACCTTGCAGACAGCGGGCTGCGCTCCTAGCCCTTGTTTTCCCTGGAGTTTGCTTGAGGCGGCCGCCCAGCAGGTAGGCCAAGCTCTCGGGCGCAGTCTCATCCTCGGCGTCCACCGGCGGGCCGACGTGCAGCTCCTGACGATTTTTTCCGGCAGGGCGCAAGAGCCCGAAACACTGTCACCTTCGTGTGGGCAGCCTGCTGCCGCGCCCGCTCCGCGTTCACAGCCTGACGGCTCTCTGGTGTCACTCGTCATCGCGTTGCGCGCCGGCCTCCTGCCGCCGCGCGCGCTCCCGTTCGCGCATGTCGGCTGCCAAGCGGTCGCCTGCCATGCGGTTCTTGCCGCTCTCGAACGACGGCGAAGTTGTCTACAAACTAACTCAGACAAAGAAAGTTTGTTTTCTGAAGGAGTTACAAAGGTTCACCTGGCCGGAAAAAAGTTAAGAGGTTCTGGAGCCGGAGAAGTTAGTTTTTTCAGGTGGCAACTAACCTTTCTGGCCTCGGAAAACCCAGAAACAAACCATTTGAAAGGTTAGTTTCAGCGATGGGAAGCTAATGTTTCCAGGGTCGGAAAGCACACTTTGTTAGTTTCTTGGGTACGTGCAGCATCGTGCAGCCAGACATCTCCAGCATCACAAATGGCACCCCTAGCATCACCAGCAACACCACCGAGTGGCTTGGCAGTTGTTGAGTTCATCTGCGCAAAGTTGCGTGTGATGCGACGCAGTCTTATTCCATTGGCGCCCTTTTTGCGACGGAGACTGCGCCCCCCAACCAGAGACCGTCTGAATAAGCGGGGTGGATCAGATCATGGTTCGCAACGAGCCCTCTCAACCAATAACCCCTTCCCCCCTCCCTGGAGAAGAACCATTGGGCGGCTGGAATTTTTGTGTGGGCAGCGGGAGGTAACACTTGGAACAATATTGGCGGAGGGTGGATTTGCTATTTGTTCTTGAGGGGGAGGGGGGTATGATTTTTCGATCAATGCGGGGGGAGGGGGGAGTACTTGTTCAGGATTGTGGTTGGGGGGGATGCTCGAACGACAACGGGGGGTTGTTGTTGGGGGTTGGGGGGCGCGGATTGTTGTTTGGAAGGGGGCGGAGGGTGCTGCTTTCTTGTTAGTAACGCGTGCTTTCTCTACTACCCGCTGCCCTAAGCATGTTGAATTAGATCGTTTTTCAGGACAATATTGCTTTGCCTTCTTCGCCTTCTTGATGTGGAAATCTCAACACTGGTGCTACAAAAACCGTTCGGGTTTGCGGAGCAAACCGCACCTTGTGTTGCTGACGTCGCTTGTCCAGCAATTGCGTTACTCTCGCGTAGTCCAGTGCATGTTTACGTTCTTTTTGTGTCATGTCACGGGCCGTGCCTAGGATTCGGTGTTGGAAATACCACTCGTAAAGCGTTCAAAACTCGTTCAAAGCCCGTTCGCAACTGTTCGCATGTCGTACAATTTACGGAAAACTAAACATGTGTGTTGCAGACCCCACCTTGTTGTTCTAAAAGCCGTTCTGGTGCTGAACAACCAGTCTGGTGCACGGATTTTCAAACACAACATCATTTCTCCAAGTGGTGCTGGAAAAAAAGAAGATTATAGGAGCCTCAGGTAGGGTTTATTGGCTTTTCTAATTCTAATGGGGGGGGCTGCGCCCCCCCCAACCCCCCCGCTTCTCTGTCAGGCTGTTGCTCGGCTTTGTGACCGTTGCCTGTGAATCGCGCGCTTTCTCCAGTACCCATCCAGCCAGCTCTCGTGTCGATAAACCTCCGCTCCGCCTCAGCTCCGGCTCTGGCCCGGCGACAATCCGGTTCTCATCTGCTCAGCTCCGCTCCAGCTCAGCTTCGGCACTCATCTGCATACCGGCTGCATCAAAAGTGCAGACGAAACAAACGTTTGCCTGCAATGAAACAAACTCACAGCCCGAGTTCACGAAAGGATTGTTTTCAGCCCTGAAACAATAGTTTGTCTGGAAAGTATGTTTTGGTATGCGAAACTAACCTTCTACCCGTGAGTTTCCTTTGAGAGTTTCCCAGAAAACAAACAAACTAAACTCTGCGACGAAATGCTTGTTTTACAAGTTTCCAAAGTAGCCATTCTAGGGTTTCCGAGAAGTTTCCCATGGCAAAACAAACGATCACAGGAAGAATGGCTTTTGAGACAGAAACAAACCTTTCACACCGAAAACGTTTGTTCCTCTATTGGAGATCAACGCTTCTGCACATGCAACAGAAAAATATAAGCATGAGTTCGGAAGAAACGTGTGTTTTCTCCAGAGAAACAAAGGTTCCGTAGACGGCCATAAGCTTGTTTGTCCTGGCGAAACAAACGTTAGGCCAAGCCAATAGTTAGTTTTCTCAAAACTAATTTTCTAGTGACTTGCTCCCATGTGGCTTTCTCCCACAAGCCAGGTAGGTCTAACCAAATAGACCATTCAAACCCAAATCCGCTGGGTGCTACACAGGGGGTCGATAACATTCAACCAATTACCCATCCCCTTGTTTGTTTGCCAAATTGTTCTGTTTTGCTGCTTACCACCCAGTCCGCACTTCGTTCAACCCCAAATTTGTGCGCGCGTGTGTCTGTGTGTGTGTGTCTTTTTGTAGGGGACCCGCAACAAATTGTGGTGGTCCTTTTGGTTTCCCTTTCAAACCACCAAAGAACAAGGTATGTTCACCCCATACTACTAATAGTGGGTGTCCCTGGGTTTAGTGGGGGCCAAAACCACCCGCCCGGTGAATAAACTGCTTCGTTGATTAACATGGGGTAAACATTCATCAGCCCAACGCTTCCCTCTGATTGGCGGTTCGCAGCCGAATCCCTGGTTTCTCTGGGTCTTCCGAAAAACTTCCAACCAAAAAGTTACCCCCTACCAAAAAAGCTAAGCTCCGGGGCTTCCAAACCCAAAAGCCACGGCCCCCGGTTCCTTCCTTTGCTCACCGCCGCTGCGCGCGCGACGCGGCGCGGCGACTCTCGCTGCGTCGGGCCGCGAAGTTCGTGGCCGCGATCTCGGGGCGCTGCGCCACGGCCTCCACGAGGTCACCGTCCACGCCCGCCGCGCGCAGCGGGGCGGCCAGGTCCAGGCACCGGCCCTGCGCCTCGACCGGTGGCCAAAACGTCCGAGCCTGAAGCATTCCAGCTTAAGAATGGGTTCCTGGAGTCTCCATGACCCCTGAAAAATGAAGGCATTACCCAAAATAATGGGGTCATTGACCCATTTTTGACGGGCCATGGAGACTCCAGATTGATTTGGCCTGGATCGCCAGTTGTGTTTTTTGTTTTGTTTTTGTTTTGTTTTTTACTCATGCACTTTATCCCAAACAAAAACAGCAACAGTGACTGAAAAAAGTAGCAACTTGGCTATCTAGGAGCTTACAAATAGGTGAATTAGAGCAATTCAACATGATGGTTGGTGAAATCCCATTGTTTAGGGTAGTTTGAGGGTCCAGGCAAACTGTTTCTTTGCCAAGTTTAAAGTCCAGGAACTCGGGGAGTGAGTCAAGCAACTTGCAGATCAACCACAGATCCCATGAAATGAACACTACAAGGGATGGATGGAACAAGGGCAGTACCAATTCGTTGAATTTTGGGGAATGAGAAAATAAGCTGCCCAATGGTTTTGAGCCGAGAGGCCACAGCAAGGTCCCTAGAACCACCAAGTCAAAGAGGGCCCTTTGAAGGGGCTACAAATAGTTGAAAGCAAATCACTGCCAAAATAATCAAAACAGGATTTTGGGGTCGGGATCAAAAGGGTGGGCGGGGAAATGGGCGGTCGAAGGGGAGGTCGGGAGCGGGATTTGGGGCAGGGGGGAGGTCCTTAAATACAACCCCGCCGTGAATCGAGGAACTATAGGGTTGCATCAAAACATTTAAGGACATTGCCAAAATTGCAGGCGATGCAAATTTCGAAGGTGCCAATGAGCCCTATTTCCAAAAGCTCCTGATCACTGAAAGGTAACACCGAGCTTCCGAGAATCCCTGGACAATACAACCTGTGGAACATGTCCCCCTTAGGTCCTGAGCTTAACATAAATTGACTGGAGTGCCCAAGGAGAAGCCTTAAATGCACCCCGCTTTCTGTTCCCCTTAGATCATGATGTTAACATGCATTCACAAGAGTTCTCAAGGAGAAACCTCAAATACAACCCTCCTCGATAAGAACGTTTAATATTGAAAGTTAGCACTCGACAACATATCCAAACATACATCCACATATATCCGCCCAAAACTCCAAGCAACCGACAGGCCAAACGTCCAGTCCAGCCATGCAACACACATGGCCCCCCTTTTCTGGTCTTTGATCTTACAGTCCCCCTCCAAAATAAGACAAAAAACCGCAGGAGCGGAGGTCTCAGCACTCAGCACTCCAGTGGTGGGTCATAACCATGCTTACTGACCACTTAACAAATACCCTGCCCCTGCCAGAAGCCGAGCAAGTCGAGGAGACTCGCCGATTTGTATATGCTTTGGTTGTTGATAACTTCCTGTAGAATGTCCCGGCTTTTTGAAGAAGACCCACCCTGTGGGGGACTAGGTCCCCAAACACACCCCCAGGCCAAAGTTGATCGGTGTGTTTGGGGAGTAGGAGCGATTTGACAGTAGGAAGTCCTGGCCTTTGTCGATGGTTTAAGAGCGAAGCCGCCAGGAAACCGACCTCTGCTTTAGCACCCCTGATGTTATATACGTGGCATTGTTCAACTGCAAGCCTAGAATTTGAAGCATTTTACACCATCACCATTTCCGTTCGGAGCAACTTGTGGGCACAAGTGGCTTGCTTGTTTCCTGGCTTTCCCTTTGAACCAGTAAAAATCGGCCAAACCAACCCAATTGGAAAGGATGGAATCTAGCCCCCCCCCCCCGGTTCCCTTCCCCTTCCGCCCTTACAACCCTTGGACCCTGAGACCCAACCGGCGCAGACGGGTCGACAAGGCCCCGCCCGTCCGAGCGTCCGAGGCGCGGTGAGCTTCAGGAAGCGGCGCTTCAGCCTCCGCTGGGCCTCCAACTTCAGCTCCCGCACCGTGGCGTCGCAGCTGAGACGCAGAGAGGCGCTGCGGCCGCTGGGCAAACGCACCTCTGGATGTGAAAGCATAACTCTTTTTTGGAGGCTACCCTTTGGTTTTTCGTTTTTGGAGGCTACCCCTTGGTTGGTTGGTTTTGGAGTTGAAGGAAACCATCAGGAAGTCCACCATAGGGGGTCCCCAAGAAGAACCGACGCACCCAAATGGTCGCCGGTGGCCCAGGAGACCCGAGTGACCTCGACCGCCACTTCGCGGCTGCGACTCCTTGAGCGCGATCGGCTGGCCATGGCGGCGAAGGCGGGCTGGGTCTCCCGTTCGGAGCTCGCATCTGATGTCCGCCACTTTTGCTCTTTCCAAAAAGGGACATTGAGAAGAAATCGCGACCCCCCCCTCACACATAAGAAATGCATGTTTTTGGGGTTCCACGAAGATGTGCTCCTCACTATTGACCAACAGATATAGATGATTCCCGCTGTTTGGAAGCATGAGCAAAGTGCAATGATCGACTTGCTGGCGCTCAGCAGGGAATGAAATAATCCCTAATAATTTCCTGTATACGGAGATTCTTCCTAGGTGCTGTTCCCTGTGGTGCTGTTCCCTGTATTGGGAACCAGCAAGAACATCAATCGCTCGCCACTTTCTTCAACATGGACGACAGGGATGTGACGTTTCCTTTACGTTTGCCTCGCCGAAGGGGTCACTGATTCGCCAAAGGGAACCCAGTTACCTCCATAAGATCAAGAGCGTTTGAACAAAAGGTGACACTGGCGACGGCCAATGCTACAGATTTGTTTTTTTCTTTCTAAAGGCAGGCTTAACAGCACACTGCTGTTTTCTGTGCATGGACAAAATCCCTGAAGTTGGTGGGTGGCTTGTGCTATGCAAGTGGAGCCTGACGTAAACTTTGTATATCCACAGCAAGATTTGTTCCCAGCCATGCGGGGTATACTCCAGTGAGTTGCTGAACAGCACTCAATTGAGAAAGAGTTAAGGTCCCTTCACTGCCCCGGTCGTAAAAGCAAAACAAAGATGCTCAATAGTAATATGAATCCCATATTGATCAGCTCAGTTTGTTAACAGGGGGGTGTCCCTGGGTTTAGTGGGGAATCATCACTTTTGGAGGTTTTGGAGGGAACACCCCCCTATGAATAAACTGGGGTTGATTAATATGCGGTCAACATTACTAGCCAGTTCGGATCAACTTCCCAATGCTAGTTGACAGTGACAGTACAAACTGGAACATTGCCGATCAATACAGAACCCTTATACACTCTGCATATAAAAAAAAATGACCACGCTCAAATAACTCTGAACTGATACCAGCAGTTCTGGACACAAACTGGCAGCGCCAACAAACTGAACTTGGGTGAACATCATCCATCATTCCGTGTGTCTGTGCCTGCTGTCCCATGTGGTTGCATACCTCTGTGTCTGCATTTTTTCTCTCTGTCCGTGTGTGTGTGTTCTACGTTTGTCTGCTTGTCCTTTGTATACCTGCCCTGAGTAGTGTGATCAAAACCGGACTCCTTCTGAGACGCCGGTGGCATTCTGTGGGTCGCGCTCCCGACGGTCGGGGGTTGCCCGCGCCTCGGTAGCATCCGTCCCGGTCCTCTGCAAACTTCTGCTCGTAGAGGCGAAAGGCTTCCTGCGCGATGCCCAACGGCCACCCAAGGACCGACGTTTTGGTGTTGGCCCTGTGCCAACTGCATATATTATCTACCTTTGTATATATATATATATACATGTATCATATGATATGATATTATATATATATATATCACATATTTAACATGCAGTGCATGGACGAAATCCATCTCGCACCCCTAAGAAATCATGGAATAATGTTTCCCGTGCAAATGCCAACTGACAAAATGGTTTCGAATCCACAGTATGCAATGTACAAACAATCAGTTTCTTAAACGAGTAGGAGGTTCAAAAAGTGGTGACCAAACATGCAGAGCTTTAGAAGGGTTCGAAGTCCCTTGAAGGTATCTACTCTGACAAGCCCCCAATGCAGCTGCAAAATTGGCAAACCGTGGCATTGTCATATCGTTGCAAGAGCAAGGGCAAATGGGAGTCAAAACAGGTGTTGCTTGATCAAAACACCATAGGGCGCATGTAAAGCCGGCCAACCCTTACTAACACAGGGGCTGTCATAAGATTCATATTGATTTATTTGTTGACCATACTATGCATACTGTTCGATGGCAAGCCAAAAGGAACCAGCAAACACACCACTGGCCTTTTGCGCCAGTCTTCAAGATAAAACAAACATGCACAAATTCGAGCGTCTCCGAGAAACACGTGAAGTAGATGAAGGTTGTGCTATATATACAGATGTATACCTGTGAAGAAATACACAGTTAGGGCAGTACTCTAGATGCAACATGTTATGAGTACGTCCCTCTGCCCTAAATCAAAATAAGGGGTTCCCCCAAGCGAACCCCTGCAAACAACACAACACCGCCTTTCCAGGGCAGGAGAACCCTGGCTAACATTTGGTTAAAGCAAACCTTGTTGTCCTCCAAAAGGAAAAGGACTCTACTTGCTTGATGTTGCTTCCATGGGCGGCCTAGAATTCGGGCTGATAGTTGCCAGGGTCTAAGGGTGGAAGTACATACCCCTTGTTCATTCCACTTGGCTTCCCTGGTTAACCCACTTTATAAGCAGCATATACCCCTTTTTGGGGAGAGGGGTATGAACATCAGCAGTCCTGTTTTGTTCATTTGCCCAGGTATGCAGAAGTGGTATGTAGGGCCTAGGGTCTCCGAATCATTGGGGTGTGAAGCCGCTGTGACCGTCTCCAGGTCCCTCGGCTCCAAAGTAATGTCATCGGCTCCGTTTTTTGCTCAAAGGTTGGAGCCCCCCCCTTCCTTTCCTGTCCTCCCAGGGCCCCATATGGTCTTTTAGGAAGCTAGGGGGAAGGGTCTTGGATTCTGGACGACTTCCCGTGGCAAGTGTTGTATACACCTGGAGTCCCCATGACCCTTGAAAAATGGGGCCGTTACCCAAAATAATGGGGTCATCGACCCCCTTTTTCTAGGTGTCATGGAGACTCCAGGTATATCTATTCCATCTAAAGAAATGTATGTATTTGTGTATATACATATATATATATATGTCTATATTCCATCCTCGGGATGGAGAAGTCCTTCGGTGAATTTATTTATACACATATCTATTCAAATCCTCGATGGATTTGTCCCAAACCTTCCGTCCTTCTCCTCCGCGCTTGGGCCCTTGACTTCCTCGAAGCTCTCCTTGCAGCCTCCGAAGCTGCGTTTCCGTGGACAACATCCAGAAATCGCACCACCTAAGACACCCTATGAGTCGATTGCCCTGTACATACCAGACCTGGTTTCTGATGTTTTCCCTGTAAATATCACCCTGGAATGATGATTTCCCTGTAAATACCAACAGACGTTATGGTCTCAACCATGGTTTCACTTCGTGGTGCGAAACGGATTTGGTCCATCCACAGTATCTCCTCTGCGGATGTTTGGGGCTTGCGAGCCCCGGAACCGCGAGGTGCCAGGGTTACCACGTGGAGTCCACAGACGAAACATGTGAAGGCTTTGACCCGCTGTCCATTCTGAAAGGGCAGGGTGTGTGTGCGTGTCTCAAAATGTCTAGGAAAACGACGAACACATGTCAACAGTTGAACTGCAGATTCATAACAAATTTGAAAGGCTGGAAAATTGACAACTCGAAACCATGTCAACAATCGTGTCAACAAGCAACCCGCAATACATCCTTTATTATGGGAATCTCTTTTTGTGGTTGCCCTTCCCTTTTCATGGGCGACACCAATTGAACAAACACCCGCCTCGTCTTTTTGGGATTTCCGCGGCGATTTCACCACTTCTGCAACACAACACTGGTCACTTTTTTCAGCTGCCCGCTGGCCGAGCTGCTTGAAAGCCGCTTAGGTGGGTATGCCAAATTTAGTCTCAGGGGAAACACAAGCAAACCCACCTTTTGCTTTTGCGGGTCCCCAACTCTGACACACACACACACACAATTCATCTAGACAATCTCAGCTTCTGCCCCCAAGGCCATGTTGTCTTTATACTTTTTAAACCCTCAAGAGTAAGATTCTTGCAACAAAGATTCCAACAGTTTAGAGTGGGCAACCAGTTCGGGAACCATTTGACACCTACCTAGAGTCTCCATGACCCGTTAAAAATGGGGTCACTACATAAAATTTGATAAACGGTCATGACTCATGACCAGTTTTCTAGGGGTCATGGAGACAGGTGGACACCGCCACCCATCACTCGGCTCGAACTCCCGCGCCTTCCGCCGGCTCGGAGTCCCGGCTCTCGCCTTCGCTGGTGGAGCCCTCCGTGACCTCGGCCTGGCCGCGGGCCGCGGACTCGGAGAGGGGTTCGTTGAGGCGAAGGGCATGGAGAAAGGAAGAGACCGTGGATTCCTTCCCCAAAATATGTGCTGGTGTCTCCTATTGCAAGTTACTAACAAAGTGGCTGGCCAGAAAAGCTTAACACTTTGGGTACTTGCCGAAAGTCCGACGAGTATACATCCTATGTTAAGTTAAAGCTTCATTCCAGAACAATGCATTCTCGAACAGCCCTAACAACCCAACGAAAACGCTGGCCAACTCAACAGCCAACACCCATCCGAAACGCAGATGCTTCGGAAAGCGCTTGGGGGCAGCCTTGGCTTCATTGTCATCCCAAATCTTCTCGTACAGCCGAACTCTTCCACTCCAAATGTGAGAATACAAGCAATTTGCATGCGCTGTTGTTTTTCCCGGTTTCAATCGGATTCATCTACCCGAGAAACATAATCAAAGACTTCAGAATGCCATGTTGGACAGAAGGTTGCTGTGCCAAAGGGACGAGATGCAAAACATGTTTGTTCTTGGTTCATGCCCCCATAGCAGCCCCAGGAAAATGCTTATCTTGTTGATGTAACTCTTCTCTCTCTTTCCCGCTCTCTCCCTATCTGCACGATAAGGGACATGAGTTAAACAGGTCAACGCTCGGTGTTTACTCAGTCCACGACTGTGAAGCCGCCGCATGCCAGAGATGCCAACGCATGCGCAGTCAGTGCTTTTTGTTCAGCCTGTGGCTTTCAGATGTGCTTCCCAATCATGGAGTGCAACAACGTGATGATGAGCGTGAGATATTGCCTGTCCGAAGATGTGGAAACGCTGAATCGCTGAAATGGTATCCCCCGAACTGCTTACATGGCGCATGACTCCGAATCGCTTGGATCATGACCGCCTTCATTGAAGACCTTCATTATACCGGTTGGACTCACCAGT